AAGCAGTGGTATCAACGCAGAGTACTCCCTTTCATGAGACGATCTAACGCCTCTTGTACAAGCTTTTCACTCTCAGTATCTAAAGCAGATGTAGCTTCATCTAGAATTAGAATTCGAGGATCTTTTAAAATAGCACGTGCGATAGCAATGCGTTGACGTTGACCACCAGATAGCGAACTACCTCGTTCACCTACAATCGTATCAAGACCATCAGGCATCTTCTCAACGAACTCAAGTACGTTAGCCGCTTTAGCCGCTTCATATACTTCTTCATCGGAGGCATCTAAACGACCATACAAGATGTTCTCTTTGATAGTAGCATTGAATAAAACGGTTTCTTGTGGTACAAGACCAATTTGTTCACGCAAGGATTTAAAAGTAACATCTTTCACGTTATAACCATCTATTGCAATAGAACCACCTGTTACATCATAGAAACGAGGTAGTAGGTTAGCGAGAGTTGTCTTACCTGCACCGGAGGGGCCAACGAGGGCTACACTTTCACCAGCCTTAACAGACAAAGTAAAGTTTTTCTAATGCAGCCTTTTCACCATCATAGGAAAAAGAAACATTGTTAAATTCTACATTACCTGTAATATTAGGCAATGTAACGGCATCGAGTTTCTCCACAACATCAGTTTTAGTATCTAAAATCTCAAATACGCGATCAGCAGCAGCCAGAGCTTTTTGAATATTACCATATACTTGGCTCAAACGTTTTACTGGGTTCGATAAATTAATGGCATAAATCAAGAAAGCAATCAAAGAACCAGCAGTGATAGCACCTGTTTACTACGGAGTAACCACCGTACCAAAGGATGACCGCTACAGCAATTGCCGCAGAAAGCTCAACCATTGGGCTTAACAAACTAGTTAATTTAGTAGCTTTAATGACCGCCTTAAAGTTGCGGTCGTTTTCATCTTCAAAGCGCTTGCGCTCAAAATCTTCACGAGCGAAGGACTTTACAACGCGAACTGCACTGATTACTTCTTGCAAAAGTGCCGTAATATCGGCTATACGCCCTTGAACATCGTGCCCTGCCACTCTAAGCTTTTTACCAAAAACATTAATAATCACTAAGACTACGGGAACCGTAATAAAAGTAACTAACGTCAGTTTCCAGTCAATGAGAAGCATGGATACCAAGGAACCAATAAGTGTTACAGATTCCGTAATAAAAGAAATCAAGTTATCTACCACAGCCGTTTGCAGTGCAGCTACGTCATTTGTAAGATTACTCATGATAACGCCCGTCTTACGACGATCAAAATAGGATAAGCTTAATCTTTGTAAGTGATTAAAAATAGCCTCACGTACATCGATAATCACGCGCTGTCCGATGTAGGACATATTATAGGTTTGACCATAGGTAGCAAAGCCACGAATTAGGAAAATCAGTATAATAGCACCTACAATAAGGTTCAACATAAACATATTCTTTTCATCTAATACTTGGTCTACTACATTCTTAATTAGCCAAGGTACTACCAAATAGGCAGCAGCGGCGACAATCATGCAGAACACTGCAAAAAGCATCCGCTTATAATAAGGCTTTACAAAATATAAGAGCCTAGAATAACTATTCATTACATTTCTCCTTACCGAGATTGTACACAAGATGTGCTACTCGTTTTACTGCACCAGGCTCACCTAATTTATGACGTACTTCGCGCAATTCACTACGCATAGCTTCATTTTTCTCTACATCACTAATCAATGGTTCCACCAAAGATACAATTACTTCTGGTGTGACAGCATCTTGTAATAATTCAGGAATAACCTCTTTACCAGCTACAATATTAGGCAAGCCCACATGTGTTACATTCACAACCATCTTACCAATACCATAAGTAATTGGTGATACGCGATACAATAACACCGTTGGCAATTCCATCATAGCCGTTTCTAATGTAGTGGTTCCTGATGCGGCAAGGCACACATCACAAATCTGCATCAAGTCATATGTATGGTCTTCCGTAATCGTAACAGGTACCTTATGAGCATCGATAAAAGCTTCTAGCTCACTTCGATCAATCGTATGTGCTCGAGGCAAGAAGAATTGAACATCTTCATGCTTCGCCATCAATTGCTCACCACTTTTTAGCATCGTATCAAGCAAGGATAAAACCTCTTGTTTACGACTGCCAGGCATGAGCAATACTTTTTTAGCCTCTTTACGAGCCCCAAAGTATTCTTCGGCCGCTTCTTTAGTCATCGTAGGATGTACAATATCGAGTAAAGGATGACCTACAAAATCTACATCACATTTGTATTTGCGATACGCTTCAGCTTCAAATGGGAAGATAGATGCTACCTTGGTTACATACTTACGAATTGTATTACCACGACTACTGTGCCAAGCCCAAATCGTTGGAGCAATATAATATAAAACAGGAATCTCCAATTCATGAGCCACCGCAGCTAATTTCATATTAAAACCTGGATAATCTACACAAACGAGAATATCTGGTTTTTCCTTCATCATGACACGTTTCAAGTGCGTGCGCAGCTTAAAGAATTTTGGCAATGATTTCACAATCTCTACAATACCAATGACACCAAGGTTCTTAATGTCATAAACGATACGAACACCAGCGCGTTCCATCAGGGTGCCACCCATACCAAACATCTCTACAGAAGGATCTATTTCTCTCAATGCATTGGCTACACTTGCCGCATGAGTATCGCCGGAAGCTTCACCGGCGGAAAACATGACTTTCATTATGCATCCTTTCTGGAATTTACAAATTCTTGGTCTACAGCACAGATAACAATACCATGACGATCTGCCATATTAAGCACATCTTGTTGTTGTACGAAAATAGTCTTTTCCGCTTCTACAGCTAGCACCTTACAACCGCTATCAATCATAGACATGAGAGTTTTTATGCCTACTGCTGGCACATCAAAGCGTACGTCTTGATTTGGTTTTTCTGTTTTAACAACAATCGCATCTCCGCGACCCAGTTCTCCACCTCTCAAGATACACTTGTCAGTCCCTTCAATGGCTTCAATTGCCATGACCGCCTTATGTTTAACAACAACGGTTTGACCAATATCAAGGGCCCCCATTTGTTTAGCTAATTCAAAACCAAAACAAATGTCAGCCCATTGCTCATCTGTAGGTTGTGCTTTTGAAAGCACTCCTACCTTTGGCATAAATGGTTTCAAGTATGCTGTTTGATCTAATACTTTAAAGCCTTCTCGTTCGATTTCATCAACGATGGCAAGCATAATCGTATCATCTTTACGATTTTTGAGCCGCTTTAAAACGCCTAATGTTTTTAAATCAGGAAATGTAAGGCCTTTAAAGAGAATCTCTTTAGTGACTTTTCCAAGCATAGTTAACTCTTGAACCTCTTCTTTTTTCAAGGTTTTAAAGATTTTACCTAGTTTAGCAACACCAATATCATAGAAAGCATCAGCCTCAGCCTTTAGAGCTGGGTCTATATCAGGTACTACACCGATAACAACCACCTCGTGGCCCAATACATGAGCGGCACGCATGAATTCTACAGGCAAAACACCAATGCCCGCAATTAATCCTACCTTTGCCAAGACTATACCTCCTAGATGGCCTCACGGCCTATATATCAATTAGTAATTTCAAGTTCATTATGAAAATGCCTAAAAATAGACATAATCATATACAATATATTTTACTATAAATAGCTACTTTTTACCATTAAAAAGCCAAGGTTTATGCCCTTTTCTTCATCATTTTATTAAAATTTCCTTATTACTTTTAACTACTAAAACATCTACGAATATATCTATAAAAATATTTTTATAATTATGAAAATATAATGCAAATTATCATTAATATAAAACTCAACCAGTTATAATGTACACAAAAAGACCTCGTACATTGTACGAGGTCCTCATAATTAGTCGCGACGAGTACGCATAATTCCCCTATCGGCATTACGTAAGAAGCGTAATAAATTTTCAATTTCTACGGAAGAGTCCAATTGTAATTCCATTTCTTCAATTGCCTTGGATAAGCTGAATCCAGAACGATAAATAATGCGGAATGCCTGTTTCAAATCACGTCGTACATCTTCGGAAATCCCTGCACGAGATAATCCTACAGAGTTAAGACCGATAACACGTGCCGGTTGACCATCAGCAATTACGTAAGGTGGGATATCTTGTACCACCTTAGCCATTCCACCAACCATAGCGTTACGACCGATTTTAACAAATTGATGAATACCAGCAAGACCACCAATAACTACACGATCTTCAACGATAGCGTGACCTGCAAGGCCTGCACAGTTACTCATTATTACATTATTACCAACGATACAGTTGTGAGCCACATGTGTACATGCTTGAAGTAAGCAATTATTGCCTACACGTGTTTCTTCACCCTCACCAGTAGCGCGGCTAATAGTTACGAACTCACGAATAACCGTTTCATCACCAATATTACAATAGCTTTTTTCGCCTTTAAATTTTAAATCTTGCGGTTCCAACCCAATAGATGCGTTAGGATAAATTTCACAACGCTTACCAATGGTTGTCCAACCACCAATTACAACATGTGCACCGATTTGTGTGCCATCGCCAATCTCGACATGTTCGCCGATAACAGCGCCAGGACCTACGATTACATCTTTGCCCAATTTAGCATTTGGATGGACTATGGCTGTACTATGGATGTTGGATTCCGCATTTTCCATGCCTACAACTATCACTACAATCACTCCTCATTCTATTATACAAGGGCAAACATGTATTCACCGCTAGCGCACAATTTGTCGCCAACATAGGCACGGCCTTCAACCTTGCCCATTTTACCTTTAATTTTAACAATATCTACCTCCATGCGAACTTGATCGCCAGGTTTTACAGGATGGCGGAAACGCACTTTATCAATACCTGTAAACATAGGAGTAAGCCCACGATTTTCCTCAGGGTACAATAATGCAATACCACCAACTTGAGCAATAGCCTCAGTCAATAATACACCTGGCATAACTGGGTTCCCTGGAAAGTGACCTTGGAAGAACAATTCGTTGAATGTAGCATTTTTAATACCCACAGCACGTTTCATAGGTTCTAACTCAACAATACGATCAACCAAAAGCATTGGGTAACGATGAGGTAAAATTTCTAAAATATCTTCGTGATTAAGAATCATGGCTGTGTCTCCCTTATTTCTTCCATTATACTGCGAGCCAATCTTGAATTTAATTCATGACTCGATTTCAAAGCAATTGCATGACCTTCGATTCGTCCTAATAAGAATAAGTCGCCTATAACGTCTAAGGCTTTGTGGCGAACTAATTCGTCATCAAAGCGAGGTACAGACAAACATTTCTCATCATCATAGACTAACGCATTATCTAGGCTACCACCTTTTGCAAGGCCCATGGCCTGTAATTGTTCTAATTCTTTCATAAATCCGATAGTTCTAGCAACACTAATATGCTCTTTAAAGTATTCTGGTGAAACTTCAAAATCACAATGTTGTGTACCAAGCAACGGATGGCTGTTAATTGATGTGAATGTTATGCGATAGCCATCATATGGCAAAATAACAATAAAACGATCTCCATCATAAACAGCATGAGATCGAGTCACTTTGTATACATGACGCGGCGCTATTTGTTCTTCAATACCAGCCTCTTCAATAAGATTGACAAAAATAGCACTACTACCATCACCTACAGGAGGTTCTGGAGAATCTATTTCAATATAACAGTTATCAATATTCATAGCACTGAACGCTGCCATCAGATGTTCAACAGTAAATACCTTTGCTTCACCATTTTCCAACGTGGTAGCGCGCATAGTGTTCGTCACATTATCAATGTGTGCTCGCACAGAAGGATGGCCTTCAATGTCCGTGCGGACAAACACAATTCCTGTATCTTCAGGTGCAGGATTAAAAACCATATGTACTGGTTCACCGCTATGAAGGCCAATCCCTTGATATGAAACAGCCTTTTTTATTGTTTGTTGTGGCTTACTCATAAGAATGTCCTTTCATAATCCGAATTCACGTTTACTATACACCAATATGTATTATACCCTATTTGCATAGGCGTTACAAGAAATTTACCATATATTACGCTAATTGGAAAGACTATTCTTAGTCTTTAAAATTTTAATAGATTATTTTTAAACACTAAATTACAAGTTATAAAATAAAAAGAGATTTCATCCATGCTAATAGGAATCAGTTTCATCTTGGATATTCCACAATCGCATAAACAAAATCTCTTTAAAATTATTAACTATTGAAAAACATCAGGTGGTGTATCTATTTGTTCACCACAAAAACGACGAGTCCATTTCCAACGGTTATGAAGCCAAAACCAATCTTCAGGATATCGCCGAATATAATCTTCAATAAACTCATTTAGACGAGTTGTTGTTACCGCTATATCACGCTTTTTATCATCTGTGCGTTCCACATAAATTGGTGGATGCGCTTCAATCTCATGTTTCTCAGAAAACGGACTATAATGTATGGTTACAAAAATAATGGGCACCTCTTGCATACG